CCTTACCTCTCCAAGCATGATGTCCCTTTCCAAAGAATTGCCTCTCCTAACAATGCCCAGAGTATGTGAGCTGAAGCTTCACCATTCTTGCCTCCAAGGAGCATTCTGGCTGCCCCTCTTCCAAAACATATCAGTTTGTTCTTTTGGCCATCCCTGGGCTACTCAGTCCTCTTCTCCACCTATTCAGACTATCGGAGGTGGTTACCATGCAGCCAATTCTAAGGCACCAATGGCCTAGTGGTGAGAAGCTGCACTTTGATCCCATAGACATGTTGTTTGAAACTACCAGCTTCACTAAAGGAGACGGATGGGCAACCTCCTCTTGATTTACTGCCTCTGACAAGCTGCTGAAGGGTCACCTATGGGTTGGTTCTGACTCAACAGTACACAACAAGTTACCTGATGTCAGAGCAGAATTGCTCCATAAAGGTTGCACGACTGTGATGTTCACAAATAGATTTGCCAGTGTGTGGGTTCAAACAGCCCTTGTAGCTAATTGTCATGGTAGAACCATTTGTTCCACCCACCTATGGTGAAGGCAGTCAAGGAATAGCTTTCCCCTTTGATCTCCACTTTACCTGTCACCTGGAGAGAAGGAAGTTGTCGGTGCTGGTTTTGCCACACGCCTGCACAGACCTTGGGATCCACGAAGAGCGACTAAAAATTCTACAGAGAGATTACAGATATTCTACCATTCTGTCGATAGAAGGGGCCTTCTCTGGCTCTTCCTCACATAAAATGCAAGTTCTCAGCTTCTCCATCTTTGCCCTTATCACCTCTCTAAATTTAAAAACTTTGCTTCCTCTAGTATTTATTACAGTAACGTCTCACTCCCTCAGGCCTCTCCACCTCAGTGTCACAGTAAAAGCTAGGAAGTAAGCAAATAAAAGAGCCTATCAAAGGCTATAAGAACTGGAAACTCATGTTTAAGCTCTTTGTTTACAAAAAAGTTCAATCATTCTCCATTTACTTTAAAATTTCAGGCACGTTTCTAAGAAGCTCTATTACTGATGGCATAGCTTATTCACAGGCAACATTTAAAAAAAAAGGCGAAGAAATCCCTAATACTTATGATTAAGCATTTTACAAACCCAGTGGTTATAAATATCCTCTCAGAGTCCCTAAGGCTACACAGTAGAACATTTTATGTTCATAATTATCTTCCAGACCAAACTCTCAGGTAGAAGCAGACATTTTATGGATAAGTTAAGAGTGGCATAGTGAGGTCAAATATGTTCAGGCTTGCCGAGCTTGATTCGAACCCAAATATCTCCATCTGAAAAGCCTGTTGTTTTCAACAGCCACCTGAACGATTATAAATGTAGGCTATGTTGTTGTTGTTATGTGCCATCGAGTCGTTTGCGACTCATAGCGACCCTATGTACAACAGCCCTAAACCCTGCTCTATCCTGTGCCAATCCCGCCAAGAAAGGAGGATGAGAATGGGGGTACAACTTGAAGAATTTAATAAATACCACTGGACCATCCATACAGAAATTGAATCAATGGATGTTCTGCTGTGTACATTCTCAACAGCAAAAATATATGCATGTTGAGGAGGGATTGTTGTTTTTCTTTTTTAAAAACCTATGGACCCCATAGCAATGGCCCTCGAGCTAAGTGTAGGCCTAAATTCTCAGCTCACTTTGCTGCCACCTGGAGACAAGAATGTGATGCAGGCAGTGGGTGGACTGGAGAACTTGTCTCTGGTAATCCAAAGGAACTGAGGCGGTGTAGTTCCAGTGATGTTGCTTGCTGTCTCGCTCCAGCTTTATAGCGTTCATATCATTAGTGACCACGTAACTCCAGACTGTGCACTTCCTGATTCCAGCAGGTACTGCTCACCCTCTATTCTTGAAGATCTCAATACTAACAATGACCCTTGAAATAAGTTTGTACAGTGTGCACGTGCCTTGATGTACTGCTTTATAAGGATTCAACAGCAAAATCCTGTAGAACAGATCTGAAAACGATTCAACACAGGTTGATCGTGGAGTTACCCCACTGACCATTGGCCATGATACCTGGTTACACATGAGGGAATCTGCCTCATGGTTCAGTCCAAGAAGACTGTTGTTGTTTATTGTTATGTGTTGTGAAGTTGACTGCCAACCATAGCAATCCTATGCAATCCTATGCACAATAGCTCTGAACCCTGCCCTATCCTGAGCCAGCATTACTGTTGCTGACAGACTTACCCCCATTACCCTAGTCATTTCATTTCTTCAGGGTCTTCCTCTTCTGCACTGACCCTCCACCCTTCCAAGCATGATGTCATTCTCCAAGTACTAGACCCTCCTGGCCATATGCCCAAAGTATGTGGGAAGGAGCTTCAAAGTCTTTCTTCCAAGGAGGAACTTGGATTCATCCTCTCCAAACCAGATCTGTTTGTTCTCTTGACAATCTATGTTCAATACTCTTCTCCAGCACCACAATTCAAAGGCATCAATTCTTCTTCTGTCATCCTTAGTCATTATCCAGATCTCCAATGCAGAGCAAGTAATTGTGAAGACGATGGCCTGGATCAAGTGCACCTTAGTCTCTAGACTGACATCATTGCTCTTCAGCACTCTGGCGAGGTTCTTGACAGTGCATCTTCCTAATGCAATTAGTTTTTTGAGTTCCTTACTGTTGGTGCCAAGAGTGTTGATTGTGGAACTGAGCTAGCTGAAATTGTTAATCTCAGTCTCTCCTCCATCTGGTGCTATTATACTCAAGTCACTTCTGGATTTGCTTGGGCAAGAGACTGTATGCCCAACCAGAAACGTTTTCATTTCGCAAATGAGATTAGATTGGCCTTCGTGAAGATGACTCTCTACAGTACAATTAAATTGTTCATAGACTACAGATTGTCCCATGAAGCTCTGTAACCCAGAGTTGGACAAGAATATTAAAAGATTTGTCCATGTGACATTCACCTACTGGGAAAGCATGGATTGGAAATGTTCAAGTATTTGAAGGCCCTTTGTCTTGAGGGACATGACATGCTGGCACTGTTAACTTTCCAAACTTGTGCAAGATCACAAATACCAGAAAAAGAAAATCCCATCTTTTACGACTACACACCACCAATAAAGAAAAGGATAACAAAGATGTGCAAGGTTTGATGAATGTTTTCAGAGCAACTGACTGCGAGCTAATCAATGCCACTGAAGCAATAACCCAGCAACCTGTAGATGTCATCAAGTATTAATGACTCAGCCTTGAAATTCACAATAAGAACCAGATTCTATGAGAGAGGGAGAGAGAAGGAAGAGAAAAAGAGGGGGGTGCGAGGGAGGGAAGGAAGGAAGGAAGGAAGGAAGGAAGGAAGGAGCCTGTCTTCTTTACATGCAGAGCTCTGGTGGCCTACTGCCAAGAAGCTGTGCTGCAATCACAAAGTCATACGGTTTTAATCTACCAGTTGCCTCCATAGAGAAAGACAGGAAGCCAAAACACCTGGAAAGCAAACATTAACATAGCTGACTCTCCAGTGGGTTTTGAAGTCTGTAAGGAGCAGCATGAAAGGCGGTTGCTCTTTTTTCTCCTGCAGAGCTACTGGTGGATCCCAACAGCCAGAGATGAGCCATCTTTGGATTATCAGCGCAACTCTTTGTGGAGGATGCCACCAGAATGTCTGTATCTTGGCAAATTTACAATTAAGGAACTTATGGCAATGAAAAGCTGCATACTGAGTCACAGAAATTATTTTCTTCAGGTCCATTTTGAGTTTTATGGAGGCCCGGTTGCCGTGGGTTATTTATCGGGCTGCTAACAGAAAGGTCGGCAGTTCAAACAGACTAACCTTGCGTGAGAGGCAACATAGTCTCTAAAGACTTAGAAGCTCGGAAACACGCGCGCACGCTTTGTGTTTAGATCCTGAGTTTCCAGGCTCATGGTGGCGTGGAAAGTTAGGTAATCCATTTATTTGAGCGACCAGTCCTCGGAGAGGGACATCATGCTTGGGAAGCTGGAGAGACAGGGAAAGAGAGGAAGACTCACGATGAGATGTATTGATTCAGTAACTGGGGTTACGAGGGTACGTGAAGTTGGTACAGGATAGAGCAGGTTTCAGGGCTATTGTACTTAGGGTCGCTACGAGTTGTAAGCGGCTCGACTGCACAGAACAACAACAACCCATCTGTGGGGCGGGGGCGCGGGGGGGCCAAGCGGGTAAACCAGCCCTTCAGTGGGTTGTGAGCAGGAGGAGGTGGGCGTTAGGGAGAGTGGGTGCGACAGCGACACTCATTGGTCCGTTCCCGTATGCTCCCCCTCAGATTGGTGCCAGCTCTGCTCCGCTCGGCCTGCTGCCTCGAGCAGAACCTGGGTCTCCCAGCGCCCGCCCCCATCCCCCTAACCTCTCTGGTTGGGCCGAACAGGCCCTGAGAATCGACACCTAACCTCTACACTCGACTTCCGGCTGGCTGCCCGCTGCGGCCCCACCCCCCCAGGGGCGGGTAATACACAGATCCGCCAATCACTGCCCTAATATGGTAGAGAGGGTGGAGCCTAAGAGATTTGAAAGGAACCCCGCCCCTTGGTAGCAGATTCCCGGGACTTGATTGTCCGAGAAAAACAGCTTTCTCGAGAGGTAAACCGTGGGTGGGAATGGACGCTGTGGGTGGGCTGGAGGTGTGGTGTGGGTATGATACCGAGGGGTGCCGAAAAGTAGCTTGGAATGAGGAAGGATCTGGTGGGGAAAATGGGGGCGCGCAGACCCTCCCCGGTGAATATAGAACACTGGACGCAGCATGGTCGGGAGGCCCGCCCGTGAAGGGGGCTGGGCAACTCTGGACTCTCCAGGACAGGCCTGTGGGAGAGTAGGAGTAAGTAATGGGGGGTACTTACAAGAGAAAACGCTACCCCTTGGGTACTTTGCCACTAGCATAACCCTCACTTCTTACTTGCACTCTGAGTCGAACTAGGAACCTCGGGTAAGATGGAGACCCGAGGATCTCTGGGTTTTTTCTCTCCAGTATAGATCTAAGCTGACTCTTGCTGGAGATCTTGTTGGCTGGAACATGGAAAATTTGGAGGAAGGTATGGAAATCCTGGAGGGATGAGGCTCTGCAGAGTGTGGCCAGGACCCGGTGTCTGGCATTCATTCTGATCTCTTCTTCAGATGTAAAGTTTATTGTGGATGAAACCTTGGATTTTGGAGGCCTTTCACCATCTGACAGGTACTTCTTTATTGCACTTCTTTTTCCCCAATGTCTCTAACCCCTTCTGCACTGATGAATTACTGGCCTGGGTTGGTAATTTGACAAAGTTTGGTGCTGAGAGGTTGCTGGGTGGATGGTTGACTTTGGTCTGTGTGCGTAACTCCAGGGGGTGGAGAGAGGAAGTCTGGCATGAGATTTCAGGTTGTTCAGGGGAAAGGTAGGTGGTTTTGCTGCATCCTGACAGAATTTCTAGTGTCAGTAAATGCTAAAGGCCTATCAGGCCCCACAGAACCAGGGATCTCATCACCTAAATGCTAGATCTCGGAGTTGGCATGGGTATCAGGCCTTGGGACGTTGTCCTTTATGGTGGGGTTCCGCCCTCAGTTCCCTTGCACAGGGTCTTTATCACGTGGGCATGGTGCCTAGTTTATTTTCTGTCTCAGTCGTGAGGAGGAAGACGTAGCAGTATCGGCGACTCCTGAGAAACCTCTCCGACGGGGCCTCTCTCACCGAAGTGACCCAAATGCAGTAGCCCCCACCTTGCAGGGTCCAAGGCTCAGCCTAGGCCCCCTCAGCCCAGAGAAGCTGGAGGAGATCCTCCATGAGGCCAACCGACTGGCAGCTCAACTGGAGCAGTGTGCCCTGCAGGACCGGGATGGTGTCAGTGAAAGCCCAAGGCCTCGCCAGGTGAAGCCCAGCCCTCGACGAGAGACCTTTGTATTGAAGGACAGTCCTGTCCGAGACCTGCTACCCACTGTGAGCTCCTTGGCTCGGAGTACTCCTTCTCCAGGCAGCCTGACACCTCGCCTCCGGAGCAGTGATAGAAAAGTGTCTGTTAAGGCTCTTCGGACGACATCTGGAAAAAGACTCACCAGTGTGAAGAGGGTGAGTTTAGAGGGTTGGGTTGAGTTGAGTGTGTGCCCCCAGACACAGTGCATAACACTATGCTGGGCTAAGTGAGTTCCTCATTGGTTAAGAGGAGAATGATGTCTGCTTCATAACATTGTTGAGATTAAAGAAAGTACCACAGACAAATGATGTAGCAGAGTGTCCGGCTGGTAATTAGCTCTCATGTTTGAGAGAGTGGAGGGATGACGCAGGAGAGGAAGACCCTCGATGAGATGGATCGATTCTGTGAGTGGGGTGATGGGAATGAATGTGTTTGAGACAGCGAGGTTGGCACAGGCTAGAGCAGTGTTTAGGGTTCTTATACATAGGGTCACCAAGAGTCGCAAGTGACTTGACGGCACATAACAAGTGATAGTAATGGTAGGATGATGGATGATGCTGGCAGCTAACTTCTGCTCTCTCCTTGGTTGATATCTAAGCAGCTCTTCTCTTCTATCATGTAATCAGCCAGCAGAGCAGATTCTTTCACCATTCTAGTCTGTTGGGTTGTTGGGTTTTTTCTTTTCTTTTTGTGTTTCAGGAATCACCCACTTGCAATCTGTTTCCTGCATCAAAAAGCCCAACATCTTCTCCCTTTGCCCGATCAACCCCACCAAGCCGATCAACCCCTCCAAGCCGATCAACCCCACCAAGCCGATCAACCCCTCCAAGCCGATCAACCCCTCCAAGCCGATCAAACCCTCCTATCCGGACAGCCCCTCCTATCCGGTCAGCCCCTACAATCCAGGGCAAAACTGGGCCCAATGGGAGAGCTATAGCAGGTGAGAGTATCTGGGCAGGGAAGCTGTGGGTGGATGGCAATGGGGAGGATGTGCACTTGCTTTTAAATGCCTGTATTCCTTTCCAGGCCCAGTTGCCCCTACCAGACCAGCCCTAGCCCCACAACCTTCTACCAGCAACTCTCAGCGCCTGTCCCGACCCCAGGGTGCAGCTCCTAAACCTTCAAGTCGACTGCCTGTGTCCTCAGGCCTCCCCAGAGCTGCTGGTCGAATGCCACTCTCCAGCCGGAGTGCCCTTCCCTGCAAAGGTGGCTTGCCTCCAGATTCTCTGTCAAGTCGGAAAGGGCTTCCAAGGCCAAATGCTGCAGGGCACAGAGGTGAGGAAGTGTGGACCTGGGAATAAGAGATCGGGAGGAAGAATACTGACCCTAGCTCAGCTTGACCCCACCCTCCCAGAGCTGGCAACAGTGCCCACTTTTCTCTGTCTTCATGAAAATTTTATTTGAAGATGGGGAAACTGAGCTAAACAGACTATGGAGTTGGGCAAAGAATCGGAATCTTGGTTTCCAAATACCTGATGCCTTTTTACCTTGTGAATGGAGGGGTGCCAGTCCTAAACTCACTCTGCCTTCATCCAGTATTTTTCCGAAGATCCTTTAAAGGTTCTAACTAATTTCTGCTAACACCTTTGTCAAGTTTCTGCTTTCCAGAGACCAACTAACCCTGCCACCTGTGCCACTCAGAGCCACCTGCAGCCCTCCAGGAAAGCTGCAGCCCCAGGGCCTACCAGGTAAGTCTGGTCGAGGTGCCTTCTGCCTCCCTCTGGCCATCCAGGTTCCCATGCTGTCTTGTCCATCATTCTTAGACCATTGTGAGCCCTGTGGCAAGATGAGGATCAGGAAGGGAGCCTTGGTGGGGGTTGTTGTTGTTGTTGTTAAGTGCTGTAAATTCGCAGATGACCCAGCAATCCTATGAATGAAAGACCTGAACACTTGTATAACTTTCATCGTTTCTCTAAGTTCATAGAGTTTCCAGAGGCCAGCTATTTCGGAAGTGGATGCTACTCCTGCTTCCAAGCCAGTCTTAATCTGAGAGCGCCACCAAACACTGTCCACATGGGTAACCATTATCACATTTGACACATCAGTGTCAATGTTCAGCATCACAGCAACCACGAGTTACCTCTGTACAGCAAATGGACAGGCCAGTGCTATACCACTTAGAAGAATGTTTGACCAAAAACAATTAAAACCAGTCCTGAGGGCCGCAGATTAAAATCACCCACCTTTGGCTGGGTAGCATAACTTTCTATCCACTGGGCCAACAGAGCTCTCTCTATGAAAGCAATTCTATGAACAATAGATCTAACCCTTGCCCATCCCCACAGAGACATTGCCACAGTGTTTGTGGGGATGGGGTGTACTATTTCTTTGAAGCTGGTGAAATTCTGAGTAACTTGGGCTCAGATGGAGTGACAAGTGGACTGGGGACAGGACAATTCAAAGCCACTCCTCTTTCTGCCTCTTCAGGTAGAGAGATCTGGACAGAAAACAGAACTTCAGAAGCCAGCCAACCACTACAGTCACCACCCGGACCTGCCTGTCGCCGGCCTCTCACTGGAGGCAGGTCCTCACTCCAGCAGATTCTCGCCCAGGGACAAGAGGAAGAGAGCTGCTGGGACTGGTCTCCCCTTCCCCCTTACCTAGGAGTTGAGACCTGAGGAGATGGGGTGGATTAGGGTTGAGCTGGAAGGGAGTCAAAATTCTCTGGGTTGAAAGCAGATTAAGGAAAAGGAGGTCACTGCTGGTTGTGGAATCAACAAAATGAAAAATTCAGGACCGTGGTTTGTCCTCATCTATCCCATTCCTACTTTCAGCCCCTGGGAGTTTGATCTTCCCAGGCACTAGTGGGCATTTATATGTGTGTGACCTCTGTAGCTAGCCTCCCCACTCTGAAGAGTGACCTTCCCGAATCACATGCTGGGTCCAGGCTGGCTGGGAGAGGCAGAGGCACCTGGTTTCTAGAACGTGTTTCCTGTAAATTCTGTGACTCCTAACAGGCCAGTTCATGGTAAGCTCACTCCACTAGTCTCCATTTTTCTAAAATAAACGGAATGTATTTTTCTATTGTCTGACAGTGGATCCTGCTCATATCTCTGATAAACTTGGAGCAAACTTCTATGTCATTCCAGTGAAGGAGCGAGGCTGGCTTCTCCAGGCAGGGGCCTGAGGAAACCTACCCTCTGACATTAGATGGCAACAGCTGCAGCTCCCCAGGATTCATAGGTAACAGAGAAGTCCAGATCAAAGTTAAGTACACTCAATCCTCTGAATCTGTGGATTCAACTAACCATAGATCAAAAAATGTTTATATATGGGGGGAAGAAACAGTTCCCTAAAGGCTAAAAGAGGACATAAAATGCTACATTTTATTACATATTAAGTCATAAAATAAAAGTAATCTACAATATACAGAATATGCATAGGCATCATACCATTTTGTATATAAGGGAGGAATTTTCCTGCAGATAATAGCTGAATTCATATGTATGTGAGGTTAAGGCCAGCATCTAGATAAATGACTAAACTTGAGTGTCCTTTCCTGCAAGAGAATGGGGGTTCTCAGGAGTCCTATGGTTTGCACTTGATGGGTACCCTGATGTTTCCCGACCACTTCAGCCAAGTGATGCTGGAGCACGTCCTCACCCTGTGCATCACTGACGCAGCCTCTTCTCTCGAGCCTTCTAGACGTGGAGGAGGGCATAAGGCACTGTAGGGCCTGATGCTGTGACATGGGCCTAGTAGGATGTCATTCATTTATCCAGGGACTATTCAAGTGCAAGATGGTAGATGATGAATGAATGACAAAGACTTATTTAATGGATTCAGGATAGTGTCTCCTTTCCCCCTCAGCCTCTAACTGGAATCAAGACTCTTCTTTGTGAGTTTTGAGGGAATTTTTTTCCTTGAAAGCCAGGTCATGACTTAAGGAAGCTAGCAGGCATCTTGGCAAAGAAGAGCCTGACTGCCAGCTGGGCACCTCAGCCCCATGTGTCTTCTTGCTCACAAAGGCCCATACTTAGGGTGTGTATGTGTGTCCTCAGTCCGCTGGGCCAGAGGTTCTCTCGGGCTCTCTCTGTATGGCTCATCTTAAAGTTTATTTAGTGCTTTCACTTGTTAAACAATGTTAGTTATCTGGCATTCACTTTTCCCTGAGCCTCTTCTTGAAGTAATTCCTACAGCCTCTGGGATTCCAAGATTTGATTTGGAGGTGAGGGGTGAGCTTGTAAGACAGGACACTGACTGAATAATTTGGTAAATTTTGGAGAGATCTGGCATAAGATCAAGAACCACCAGCTTCCCACAAATAGGTTCATGCAACATTTGGGAGTGCAGAGGTGCCGAACCCTTCCCATCTGCATCTTGCAGTGCTGTGGCAGCTGTTGACCTCCAGCTCTGGGAGGTTGCCAAGCCCAAGAACACACGTAGGTGTGGCCAGCAGGTGGCACAGATGTGAGACCTGTATACAGGCCAGGCTGGAATAGGCAGAGGCAAGTGATCAGGATCGCCACCTGGTGGCCAGAGAGGACATAACCTGTTCCATTCACTTTCTGGGTCAATTTTGAGAGGCACCCTAGTAGTGCAATGGTTAAACGCTGGGCTGCTAACCAAAAGATTTCTTCGATTCCACCAGCCACTCTGCAGGAGAAAGCTGTGACAAATCTGCTTTCATAGAAGTTTACAGCCTTGGAACACTTACGGACAGTTGTACTCTTGTCCTACAGGGCTTTTAACAGTAGGATTGACTCAGCGGTGGTGGATGGCAAGTTTGTTCCCCTCTCTGCCTCCTCCTATCCCAAAACTGCTTACACAGCATGTTCAGTAGGCAGTGCCAGCCTGGAGGCAGCCTCCCTGCCATTGGTGCCCTTTTCGTTCAACTGCCTTCTTCTTTCTCTCCTTTTTTGGCAGGGCTTTATACACATTACCTCCAGTGCTGTCCCCTCGCTCAGTAACCACTCCCCCCGCCTAGGTAACCTCAAGAAGGGACCCTGTGTTTATCAGTCTCTTGCAATGCACTGTGAACTGTTCTAAGCACTTTACTCGTGTTAAGTCATTTAATCCTCATAAAAGCTCATTTAGAAGGATGCTGTTATCGTCATTCTTTTGCAGACAGAGAAAGTCAGCTGAGAGATGAAGTTGGTCTGTTTGGTTCAAGGGCTTGGATTGTTATTCATAACCCCATGTATATCCTCGTTAGCTTCATGTCAGTTTTGTTGAATTGGACTTTAAAAAACACAAAATCTGAGAAGTCATGTTATAGAGCACATACTTGGCCAGGAATAGTTGCTTCATTTTCCACTAGCCTCAGTTGACTCTTCCCTCCTGCCTGCACTCTGCCCCCAGGAAGCTTGTCCCTGTCAGCCTCAGCCTTGAGGGACTGGGCTGGAAACACTTTAGCACTGTGTGGTCACACAGGCCACCTGGAGTTGTGAGGACACTTAAACCTCCCCTCCTATCATGTCTTCCTTGTTAATGCTAGGATGTGAGCTCTGGGTTGGTGAGGCTTTACAGGGGCAGGAGCACTGCTGGAGGCATCAGGGAGCTCTGGTGGCCTAGTGGCAGGGAGTTGTACTGCCAACCCAAAGGCATGAATCTGTCAGCTGCTAGCACACATCAGTCGGCTCCTGTTTGTATTCACCAGCTGCTCTTTAGGAGAAAGATGGGCAATCTCCTACCTCTGAAATCCTGCTGGAGGGTCAGCTCTGAGTTGGTTCTGACTCAACAGCACATAACAACAGCTGGAGGTGAGCTCTGGTGTATAGACCAGATACAGGGAGGATAGTATCTGATGCATAGGTAGCACATCTTTGGTGGTTTTAATCCACCAGTCAACAACCTGCTTTATGCAGATGACACAGCCTTGCTTGCTGAAACTGAAAAGTACCTGAGGTGTTTGCTGCAAAAGGTCAAAGACTATAGTCTTCAATATGGGTTGAAGCTCAGTTTGAAGAAAACAAAGATTTTCACACTGGGCTGCTTGGCAACTTCACGATGGACGGAGATTGAGATTGCCGATAACTTCAGTTTATTTGGTCCCACAACCTACACTCTTGGCACCAGCAGTCAGGAAACCAAAAGATTAATTTGCACTGGGAAAGTCTGCTGTCAGGGTCCTCTCTAGAGTCCTGAAGAGCAAAACTATGTCAGTCTAGAGACTAAGGTGGACCTGATCTCAGCCATGGTCTTCACAATTACTTGCTATGCATCCAAGAGCTGGACAATTACTAAGGATGACGGAAGAAGGACCGATGCCTTTGAGTCGTGGTGCTGGAGAAGTGTTGAACATACTATGAACTACCAGGAGAACAAACAGCTCTGTCCTGAAGAGGGTGAAACAGGCTGCTCCTTGGAGGTAAAGATACTGAAGCTCATACTGAGGGCACGTGGCCAGGACAGACCAGTCCTTGGAGATGGATATGCTTGGAAGGATGGTGGGACAGTGCAGGAAAGGAAGACCCAGGATAAGATGGATTGACTCAGTGACTGGAGCAATGGGATTAGGACTGTTGGAGATGGTAAGATTGGCTCAGGTTAGGGCAGGATTCAGAACTAAGGGACATAGAATCGCTGAGTCGAGAAAGAGAGCAGTCCCCTCCCCTGTGGTTCACAGCCTCTGTAAACCCAGTGGAGGGTCAGCTCTGAGAAAGGACTCCACGGCAGTGAGGGTTTGTGTTCTGAGCTGGATGCAGTTGGTCCCTGAGTCTCCCTGACCCCTGGCCTGGCTTTCACTGCTGGTGCTTTGTTTTCCAGAAGCCATGTATCACCCATGATGACAGTATTCGACCCGCACAGAACTAGTTTATTCAGTAGTATGGGGAAATGAAAAAACAAAACAAAAACAACAAAACCCTACCATATTTACAGTTACAATCAAACTGTACAATCGGATGGTTAGTATCAAGTTAGCATCCAGCATCTTTGTATTTTTTTGTCTTTTTTTTTTTACGTCAAGTCATCAGTAGTAAAAACCAGTTAAATTTTTAACCCTTTGCAAGAATTGCCGAGGGGAGTGGGCAGAGGGGCAGAAATCTATGACAGAAAACCCAGAGACCAGCCTTACAAATGAGAACCGGGAGCATCCCCCCCTCCACCTGCCCACAGCCTCTTTTTCTAGCCACCTGCTCCAGAAGGAAAGCCAGTGTGATGAGTCTGGAACACATGCCTGGAGTAAATAGCGACTCAAACGAAGAGCAGTTGGCAAAACTGAGGAGCAGCAGGCGAGGGAGATGGGGTGACGGCCTGTGTCGAGGGGACCAGGGCCAGGCCCCCATGGCCGGGCACACACCCAACCTGTGACAGCCACATCAGACCCCCTGGGGCTGGGCATGGACCCAGCCCAACACAAAAAGCAAATAAATAAAAAATATATATTAACTCTTCACAGGGAGCTTGTGGGGGAGGGTGGATGGAGGAGAAAGAGGAACAGAACCTGGTCCTTTGAAGAAGAGAGCCAATTCCAAGAAGGGGTTAAAAATAGAACAGGTCTTAGAGGCCACAGCAGGTCAGACAAAGTGGGCTCTGTCTGATTTTTGGGGGGTGGGTGGGTCTGTGAATGGCAACCAGAACCCAGACTTGAAGCCACTTAGAGTGGAATGGCACAGCTGTCACTCTTCCCCCGACTCCACCCCACAAACGGCAAAGAAGCGCAACTTAACACGGGACTGACCTTCCCCAAGGGCGGCTAGAGGGCGCAAATGAAGCACTTTTGGGTGAGCAAACTGAGCAAACACCTGGACTGCAGTGCATGGCCGGAATCCAGGAAAAGAAGAGGGGCTAGGGAGCCCCGTGCCCGCCCTGGAGCACAGGCTCCCGTCAAAATGTGTTCATGCAGCATTTGGGGGTCTGGGGGCGCTGAGTCCTTCTGCCCCCTTGCTGGACAGGGCTTTTTCAGTTCCTGGGCGAGGCGGTACCAGAGGGCTGAGGAGGGCCCCTTGCGTCGACCCCTCGCCACATTGAGGCCTGCCCGGTGCAGCCTGCAGGGTGGACACCCTGGGGGCCTGTGGCTTTGTCCTTTCCTTTTGGTGATGGCAACTGAGGGGCAGAGCCCCCAAGAGTTCCTCTCCTCTGAGAGGCACAGCAGATGGGAAACTGAGGAGAGGCTGGGCTCGTCCTGGAAGGTCCTATCCTCTTTGGGAAGGGAAAGGGGAGTCAGTTTCCAGCGTATAAAAAAAATTAATCCCTGAAGTCATGAAGAGTGGAGATCCTTTTTTAAATTCTTTTTTTTTTCCTTTTTTCTGAAAAACTTTTGTCTTGGAGATGTTGGCCCCCAGGGGTCCAAAGTGCAGTGAGGGGGTGGCAGGGGAGGGAGTTGGCACTAGGTGGCCTTGGGTGGGGTGGGTGCCCCTCCTGGCAAGGCCCAGGCTCCTCAGATGGACGTTTCATCGCTGCTGCGGGCAGGCGGTGGGGAGCGGGGCAGGATAAAGCACAAGACAGGAGTGGGGGGCATGAGTGCAGCTGGGGAAGGTGGGGGAGCCTCAGGTGTAGGTACCGCGGCCCAGGGTTAATGCAGGAAGTTAAAGAAGAGAAATCTGGAGAGGCAGGAAAGGAAAGTGACAGAGAGGCAGACAGAGGGTTAGTTGGAACAGAGAGGACAGTGAGAAGCTTTCACCAGAGAAGGAAACAGAAAAGCAACCCAGCTCCCCATCTTCCCTCGCCTCAGCTTATGCCCACCTGGGATCCACACAGTCCAGGAAGGGGCTGTACCACCCCGTGGCCCATGGGCACCATGGTATATGGACATGTCCTTATAAAGGAGCTGAACCCACTCTGCCCATCTGTCCTCTGACTGCCAACCAGAGCTCCTGGAGAATCCAGGCGCCAGTGCCCTGTGCAGCCAGGGTCTTGGGGCTGTGCCCTGCCCTGCCCCCCAACCACACTCACTCGGAGCCCGATGAGTCTTCATCCACGGTGCCCGCCTTGATGCTCATGGCGATGGGCATGACCCCATTGAGCTGCTCCTGGAGGCTCTGGCGGGGAGGCGGGCGGGGAGGCGGCCCACCCCGGCTGCACTCGCTGGCCGAGGAGCCCCGAGACGACGCTGTGCCCTGCTCCAGGGGCAGCCGCAGGAGGCTGCTCTTCTCACTGATGGTGGGCAGACACTTCTTCTTGAGGATGCCTGTGGGCCGGGAGGGCAGATGCCATGAAGCGCAGGCGCGAGGGGCAGGGGACCGTCCTAAAGAGACCAACAGCCACAGGGCAGAGGTGAGGTGGGAGGGGGCTGGCGGGGGACACGCAGGCCATGTGCCCCACTCACCTTTGTGAGGTTGAGCAGCAGAGCCTGGAAGGGGCCCCAGGGACCCTTCCCGAGGCAGGATATCTCCATTCTCCCTCAGCCGCTCTTCGGGGCCACTGCCACTCTCCTTTGCTGTGGTCCCAAAGTCTCCTGGCCAGGGGGTCTTTGCTGGGCCATCTGATGGAAGAGCATGTGGATGAGGCCCAGAGAATGCAAACAACTAGGAGAGACCCCAGTCCCGTCTTGCTTCCCAAGTGCCCCAAGTCCTCTGCCCTCTCACGGTCTCCCACAGGCCACGGCCCGGCCTACCCTTGGGGGTACTGTGCAGAGGCAGCCTCTCGATGCCAGGCCCCAGCAGGCTGTCCCAGCCCGGCTCCCCAGGGAATGCCGCCTCCTCCTCTTCCTCTTCCTCACTGTCTGATGAGTGGGTTGAGGCGTAGGAGCCACTCTGGTCATCTTCCAGGGACAGGTCACTGTCGGAGTCCGTGTCAGGATCTAGCGGTGGAAAGAGATCACAGCTGACCCACCCCCTCGATCAAAGCCAGGCAGCCGCCCCACCGAGTGGCTGGAGGCGTCTGTCCTCACCATGCTGCTGGGCTTGACCTTCCAGGAACAGGCCACCTGGGTCGCCTAGGCCAGGAGGCCCTTGGCTAGGGTTCAGTGTGGACTCCTCCCTAAAAGATAAAAGCATCCTGGAGAGGTTAGCTTGGCCCCTTGCCCAATGTCCCACCATCTTTTTCTCTACCTCTCTCAGCCCTGGTGCTCGCAACTCAGCTGCCAGCTTCTGACTGGTTGGGTCTTGTGTGCCAGTCTTCGTCCTCCCTCCTGCCCTACCACCTCCCACCTCCATGGTTCACCTCAGCAAGAAGGGGATGTAGCTGGGCTGGCTCTTGCCCGAGCGGCTGGCACTGTGCAGAGAGCCGGCTGAGTCTCCATAGGGCTGGTATAGCCGTCCGTCTGCGAAGGGGCTGGGGCAGTTGTAGGACTAGGCGGGGAACAGAGAGTGGTCAGCAGGAAAGAGGCAAGGGTGCTGGAGCAGGATGAGCGTGAGGGTGCAGGGAGCTTGCCCAGAGCTGTCTCACACATCCCCAGGGCCAAAACAGGAGGTCCCTCATGCCGGCAGACCCTTCAACTAGTAGGGTCCCGTGTGGTGTTTGAATTTGTATTTATTAATTTTGTAAATAAACTAGTAGAAAATAAAGAAAAAAGATCTGTTACCTGAGAATAGATGAGGAGACACAGAAAATGCACTAAAACTTACCCAAATTCAGAATTATCAAGCGTTCACTACTTGTCCCCACCGCTTCCTCACCATGTCCACTCCCAGCCCACACAACCCACTCCTCCTCCCCTTCCCCTTCCATTTCAGGGTGGGAGGAGGAGCAAAGGAAGGGGGTAGTTAGACAAAAGGAACAGTGACAAGCTGCGGCAGAGCCTCTCCCCACCCCCGCTCCCTTACCGAGGTCAGGGTGGACTTGGTGGTCAGGGCAGGGTCGGGGCTGGGCTTGCGGCTGCAGGCGAATTTCAGGGCTTTTCGGACCTCCTTGCTCAGCACCACGTAGGAGAGGAAGATGAAGGGGCCCTGGCAGCAGAACGGCACATCTTGGGCGCTCACGGCCCAGCTTCCCCGCCACCTCTTCGGGGCACCATCCCTCCCTGTCATACCTGGATGCAATTGCAGGCAGCGAAGAGGTAGTGGAAGAGGAGGGTGTCGCTGTTGACAGAGAGCAAGGCCAGCAGCCAGGTGGCACTCAGCAGCACGAGCACAGCGAAGGAGGGCCGCAGGCCCGACCTGGAGGGGGGATGGCCCTGAGTGCCGCCACCACGCCCCTTCACCATGTCACCCACTGTCCAGGCCCCCACACCCCTGTACTCACACGGGGCCTTTCTTCTCAAAGCCCTGCCGCTGGGCGGCACAGGAAGCCCGCGCAGCCAGGATGTACAGGAAGACACTCATCTAGGTAAGGAGAGGAGAGGAGTGAGGGGGGCAGAGGACAGAGAAGAGAGGGGAGAGGGGGCAGCAGGACAGAGAGGAGAGGGGGACAAGACAGAGAGGCGAGGGGGCAGCAGGACAGAGAGGAGAGGGGTGAGGAGGACAGGACAGAGAGGAGAGGGGTGAGGAGGACAGGACAGAGAGGAGAGGGGAGAGGGGGCAGCAGGACAGAGAGGAGAGGGGAGAGGGGGACAGGACAGAGAGAGCTTCTGTCCACATGACATGGAATGGCAATCTCAGCTCCTTTCTTGCACCTACCGAGACAGCAAAGGCCACAGGGCCGGCAAAACTCCAGATGAGTGTGTCATAAATGGAGAGCCAGCAGAAGTCGGGGTTCCCATAGCCCTCAGGGTCCAGGCCCACGGCTAAGCCTGTCAGTATAGAGCAAGGGAAACGATGGTTAGGGGCTTGGGCGTCAGGGCCAGGCAAGGAGCATAAGAAGGTTTGTCTATGGAAGCTTCTCAGAATGGGGGAAAGCTGCCCTAAGAAAAAGGCTCTGGACTCCAGGGTGAGGGGTCTAGGAACCTAGGTAAACTGGAGGGTACCTCTGAAGACTTCTCCTGGGACCTAGGGTGGAGATAACCTGCAGGAAGGTGGACTAGGGTCCAGAAGGTCCAGGCAGGGTGGGGTACCTGTGATGAAGGCGGGCACGCCCCAGCCCAGCATGTAGTAGAAGCGCATGGGCCCCGCGTTGACGTCGCGCACCTCAGTGAGGGCCCGGTACAGGTGCAAGGCCTCCAGCAGTGCCCAGGAAAAAGTGCAGAGGTACAGGAAGTGCAGCAGGATGGCAATGACTGTGCAAGCAAACTGAGGGCCAGGCCAGGTCAGTGGCCAGGCCCACCTGGAGCACGGGCTTCTTCAGGTCAGGAGGGGACGGGCCCGCGTGTTTGCTGGGACATGATTCGGGATTATTTGGACAGGAGGTTAGTCCTGGCCAAGTGCCATGGAATGGTGGGGAGCTAGAGAAGAGGGAACCAGGTGCCAAGCCTGTCAGTGTTAATGCCCCAGGAGCATGGGGGGAGAACAAGGCCTAGGGAGGGCTCACGAGGGAGCCTGGGAGGGCTGGGGGCTGGGAAGGGCTGGGAGCTGGGTGAGGGGGGTCGTCTTACAGGGAGGTCGGCCTGGTTGATGCCCAGGAGGAAGACCAGCTGCGCCAGACCCAAGGCAGCAGTCAGGTTCCGCCGGATGCCGTGCTGGTTAGAGCGCAGGGTTCTCAGGGCCGTGAGGAAGAGAAAGGTGAGCAGCAGGGAAGCCAAGGTGACCCCGAGAGCCACATATGTCAGTGTCTTCAGCGGCAGGATCTCCCCATTCTGCAAGGTGGGTGGCAGTGGCCGGGGGAATTAGGAAGGGTGGGATCTGGGCTCCCACCCACAGCTCTGCAGCTGCCTGCAGGTCCAACCTCACGCCGGGACACGTCCATGAGCACCGCGAAGCTCGTCATGTGGTTGCACTGGCAGCTGACGTGGCTCTCGTTGCGGAAGACGACTTCACAGCCCCGGGCTGACCAGCCACCTGTTCCACTGACCCTGTGAGGAGGGGACGGCCGGGGTCAGCGGGGTCAGGGCAGGGGACCCAGAGGCCCAGAAGGAAGGGCAGTGGTGGTGGCTCACAGGATGGAATGGTTCCAGAAGACACAGATGGGCTTGGTTCGCTCCTCCGTCTCCAGCAGTCGGAACTGCACAGTGACTGGTTTGTCCAGGGCTCGGGGCAGGAGTTCCTCATCATCATGCACACTAATGCTCACCACAGGCGTGTTGATGACAGGACGTTTGGGCACTCTGGGTAGGGGGGAGGCAGGTACACATCACCATGGGGGGCATCGATTATGACTCACAGTGACCCTGTGAACAACAGATCTGAACCCTGTCCTGTGCCATCCTCACAGTCTGACACATTTGAGCCCATTGCTGCAATCACTGTCTCAATTCATCTGGCAGAGGGTCTTCCTCTCCTTCGCTGACCCTCCGCCTTCCCAAGGATGGTGTTCCTTTCCAAGGAATAAATAGCCTCTTCTAGATACAGGCCCAAAGTATGTGAGACAAAGCTTTATTATCTTTGCCTCCAAAGGAGCACTCTGGTTCCACTTTCTCCTGTCGCCTGTCCTTTTGACAGCCCATGATACTCTCAATATGCTTCTCCAAAACCACAGCTCAAAGGCATCAATTCTTCTGCCCTCTTTGTTCATTGTCCAGCTCTCAGATGCACAGCAAATGATTGAAAAGACTATGGCCTTAATCAGACACACCTTGGTCTTATAACTAAGACAACCCCAGTTTTGAGGGACGGCCTCAGTCCTGCCCTACTCTACTCAAGACTCGCAGGTCCCATCCACAGCCCTCTCAGCTGCTCACCTCAGGCTGCGCTTGTCCGGGTCGTAGTTATGGGGCAGCAGCCCGGCCAGGGTGCGGTAGATAATGACACTGGCCACAGCCTCCCCCTGGCTCAGCTCCGGGTGTCGCCGCTGCCGCCGGGCCAGCTCCTCCGGCTCCTGGGCCTCTCCGGTGCCCGCGGGTCTGACCATGGGAGGTGTTTCTAGGAGCAGGACACTGTCATATTCAGCTGGGCACTGCCATCTGGGGAGTCTTTATAGATCCCAGGCCCCTGACTGTTACTTGGCCCACCACTGACCTCTGAAGACTGACTCAGGCAGGATGACTGTGGTCTCCAGGTCTGGGGGCCGCTCCCCCCGCAGTGCCTCATACCGGGGCAGCTTGGCACCTGCAAAGTTCCCCTTGTCCAGGCGCACGACGGAGATGACTGAGGAGAAGAAAGGTGGTCTGTGGTCAGAGCCAGGGAGGCAGGCAGGCCTCGGGGACAGCCGCCCTCACTGAGTGCTCCCTCCACAATGAGCCCCAGCCCTCACCAATGTTGGGCGTGACGATAGTGAAGGGGCTGAGGTAGGTGTGCCGCATGTTCTGGGCCAGGGCGCTGGCATAGGCCTCGTAGTGCTGCAGCAGCCAGGCAGTGCCACCCTCCGTCTGCTGGATCAGCTCCCAGTGTCGCTTGTTGGCCGCGTCCAGGAGGGCACTGCCCACCCTGAGCAAATTCTGGGGGTGCGTGTGGTCATGAGCACGTCACACCTCCATCTCTTCCAAGCTCCAGGCTGCGCCAGGCCAGCCCATAGTTCTCCATTCACCATGTCCTTCCCTCAGCACTAAACCCACCTCCTCCAGGAAGGTCCCCTGCCCGCTCTAGGCTCTTCTCAGACCCTGTGCCCGTGGACCCTGTGCCACACAATGCAGTGGGATACTGCCTCCTCCTAGCCCTTTTGCTGGGTTTTGAAAGGCCTGATCAGCCCAGGCCTAAACAGAACGATTTTCTTCTATGTGCACCTCGAAATACAAAAGGCTGGGAAGAGGGGATCGAAATCACCCAAGCGCTGGGCCATGCTCACGTGACCTCATGAGACTTCATCCCAGCTGTGAGGTACCCAAGGCAGGCGCTGCTCTGCTCCCCGGGCGCCCAGGACCAGTCCTCTCCCTGTGACCCCACCTACCCCACCAGCCCTGCCACTGCCATGCCCTACCTCAGTGAAGTGCACGTCCTGGGTGGCAGACAGCCCAAAGCCCCGCTGGGCACTCTCATGGGCCAGCAGCCGTGTGGCCAGCTGGTAGGCCACCTTGACGTCGCTGCCAAAGTAGCCAGCCGTGTGCTGCGTGGCATTGCGCAGGAGCAAGGCCAGCTGCTGGGAACGCCCAGAGTCCAAGCCCGACTCGTTCCGCTGCAGCCGATCAGCCTAGGACATGTGGACCAGACAGGATGGGGAACAAAGAGTGAGGGGTCACTGCTGGAGAACTGGAACTCTATGGAAAGGGACCCCACGGGAGGGGAGATGGGGCATTTCCAATGGGGCTGGAATCAAGGGGGACAAAATGAGACTCAGGAAAGATGGAGATGAAGGGTTTCACTTACAAAGCCCTTCAGCTCCGAGAATGTGACTGAGGTGCAGTTGAAAAGGTTTGGGGGGAGCCACCCCCTGTGCTCGTCACAGTGGCGCACAGCTGTCCCTGCGGGAGAGGAAACCCAAAGGGCTGGCCTCAGACAGAGACGTCCCTGAGGTCTGACTGAGAAGTACTCCTGGACCAGGGTGGAGCACAAGCAGAACAGGACCCTGCCCTCCTACAGGCCAGGTGAGAGCAGGGAGAGACAGGTGTGCTGAACACTAAAGCCAAAACCTCTGCACAAGCAGGCCAGGCGAGGGTGGGGCGGCACGGAGCACAGGCCAGAACGCCCTGGCCAGCCCAGCTGCCACCTCGGGCTCCTCAGCCACTTCACTGCCTAGGAGTTCAGATCATCACACGAGGACAAGTGCAAGCCCTCATCCAGGCTGAGTGCCCTGTGACAACACCCAACTCTCTACCCCAACACACTGCCCCTTTTCTAGGACTGTAATTATAGTGCTCGGGGAGAAGTTAGTTAATGGAAACCCTGTGTGTTCCATCTTTGAATCCCTAGTGACTAGCCCTGTACTGCCCTCAATGCAGGCCTTCAACACCAAGAGGGAAGGGATCCAGAGTAACCGTGGGAGATGGGACTAGTGAGTCAAGGAGGCAGTGGGAGATGGGTCTCTAGGACGTAGCAGCCAGAAGGTAGGGTCCTAGGATCTGCAGTCAGGGTGGTCTCCTCCCCCTCAGCTACATCCTCAATGTCACACTTACCAAAGGAGCCTCTGGGGCAGGGGGCTGCAGCAGGCAGCCCAAAGCGCGTCCGGGGCCACCAGATCCCAGCCTCGATAGCCCTCGGGCAGCTGTCGTAATTCACTGCAGGGGAGAAGATCAGGTCACCCGGGAACAGTAGCCCCTCTGCAGCTCTGTCCAGGCCCACTGAGCATCCCCAGGCCTGAAGCCAGTCCTACTCCTTACCTCCCTGGGTCACAGTGGGGAAGCCGCCCACCCTCCCTTGCATCAATACCTTCACAGCCATTGGTGGTGACCTCAGCGAAAGGGTTGTCACAGCGGTCACACTGGCGTCCGATGACACCTGGCTTGCATGGACACTGGCCATCCTCAGGGTCACAGACTCGGGACAATGAGCCCGTGGGGTAGCAGTCACACAAAAGGCAAGTAGGGCTGCCTGGTGGGCGGTAGTGGTTCTCCTGGGAGGGACAAGGCAGTGAGTGGGGTGTCACTCGGGCTTCAGTGCTCTTCCCTGGATGCCCACAGGGCCTTTAAGCTGCGGCCCCTCTGCAGAGAAACTCCCCAATCTAGGGTCCCCCCAACGACCCTATTCACAATGTTCAATAAGAAGCTAATCCTTGCAGCTTCATCAAGCACTGAAATGCAAACCAATCAGAATAGGTTGCATATTGCCATTTCAGCTGGCTCAGTGTCCCCTGGCCAAATCAGTCCTGGCTGTCCCCACACAGACATACAACAAATGGCTCTTTCTCTCCCCATCACAGCACAAGAGCAGGCCCTCTGCTCCTTGCAGACAGGGACTTCTCCATGGTTTCTCAGGGGCCCAGGGAAGGAGAGGAGGCGTGGACAGCTGTCGCCAAGGCCCAGGCTGGGCTGTCACCTTGCAGTGGCACTCGCCGCTTGTCTTGTTACAGTCTGGGTCAAAACCTTTGCTGACATCACAGTTGCATGGGCCGCACATGGGGTGTCCCCACCAGCCACGGGGACAAGGCTGGTCAATCCTGCAAGAGAGGGACCGGGGCAGGTGTGAGCCTCGACTGCTCCTCCTTCCTGGTGTCACCACATGTGGGTGTGCCAGGTTTTTGGGGTCCTGAGGGGGACACACCAGAGAGAGGCCCCGGGGACCTGCTCCCGATGGGGACCTGCTCCCGATGGGGACCTGCTCCCGATGGGGACCTGCTCCCGATGGGCTGATTCTCTCACCTGGTCTCACAGTATGGTCCAAGGTAATTTTGGGGGCACTCGCAGGTGTAACCATGGGGGGCGCTGGGCTTTCGCGTGCACGTGGACTGGTGCTCACACGGGTTCAGGTCACATACACTCGTACAGTTGTCACCATAGTAACCTGGAGGAGGCCACGGGCAGCTCAGTTCACCTGCTCCCCTCAAATCCACCTCCATTCATTCTATCCACTCTGAGCAGCACACCAGCTGACAACTAAAGGCCTGTGGTGCAGGCAGCTCAGAGAGGTGATGTCAATGGACAGCAGAGCCAGAGCAAGATCCCAAGCACCCCCAACCTGCTCTTTGCCCTGTGATCCTGTCATACCTGGATCACAGCTACAGGAATAGCTGTCCCAATCATCACTGCAGTAGCTGTTGGCAGGACATGGGTTCGAATCACAGGGGTCTGGCAGGCTGCAGCCCGGCTCCACATTGATGGTTTCCCCACGGCTGAGATCCAGACTGCTAACACCGTCGGGTGTCTCGCTTACCCTCACACCCTGGGAAGGACAGGGCAGTGTTGGTCCTCAGTGGGGCAGCCTCCAGGCAGCAGAGGGGAGTAGAGGAGGGAGGGAGGACACTCGCCTGCAAACAGCCCCGGAAGCCACGGGCCACACCACTGGCTGGTCCGGGCACCCCGCCCACGGTGATGTTGCTCAGGTGCAGCCCATGCAGCCGGGGGCCCAGATTTCCCTCTGTCCTCTGCTGCCCATAATCAAAGGACAGGATGGCATGCCCAGGCCCGCCCCTGGCTCCCAGTGCCAGCTGTGCATGGTGCCAGTCTCCATCATTGGCACGGCCAGTTTCCAGCCGGAGAGAGGAGGCCTGGAGTCCAGTGCCCTCCACACTCAGCACCACATGGCCCTCCCGAAGCTGGAGCCGAAAGAAAATAAAGAAGATCAATGAACCACCTTAGTTTGTTCTTCATCCAATCCACTGACTCCCTTCCAGAACGACCCAAGGCAGGCACGCGCTGTGCTGCCGTACTGAAGCCGTAAAGGCTAGTGCTATTTCCTTTTGTCCCAACAGATGGCAGCATTCAGCCAGCAAACCGATCCAGGGGCCTCCTTGCTCACCCGCCCAACCTACTCCCCTGAAGGCCACGCCCTCGAGCTGACCGCCTCGTGCCCCACCCCGTCCCGGGCTCACCTGCAGGGTGATGGTGCTGCGCCCCCTGGTGACCGCTTGCAGCAGGACGCCGTTGGCCTGGCGCGTGCGAAACATGAGGCTCAGGTGCCAGGGCTGGGAGATAGGCAGGGAGAGGCCCTGCCAGGCCACCATGCTGCTGCCCAGAAAGCGCTGCGGATTGGCCATTTCTGGGGAAGCAGATACAGGATGACCGAGGGGTGGTACGGCCGAGTGCCGCAGGGGGCATGACGCCCAGCGGTTCCATTGCTTCTCCTCATGCCCCGCCCTCTAGCGAAAGTACCTGCCCCGGGCCCGCCCCACACTGTGCCCAGGCCTGCCTCTCACTGGGCCCTTTGTCTCCTGCGCTGCCCTCTCAGGGCTCTGCCCAAACACGCTTTCCGCCCACATTCGAGCAGCAGAACCCGGTCCGAGCTGCCCCGGCCTCGCCTGTGCTCCCGGCCCAGCTGACAGCTCCTCCTACCCTCCTACCTTGGGCACAGCTCTTGCCCCCAAAACCCAGGGGACACTCGCAGCTGAACGCATCCCATTGGTTCACACAGGTGCCCCCATTGTGGCAGGTGTTGCTGTCACACACATTCTTCTTGGCGGAGCAGCCTGGAGTGGAGAGAAGGGGGCTCAGGGACCCCAGGACCCCTCCAAACAGGAAACCTGTGGCAGTGGCTAGAGCTGCCTTAGAGACACCCCACACACCAGTCATGCCCCCTCCTCTCTGCATGGTACCCTGGTCTTGCCCCCCTCCCCCCGGCCAGGATCCTGTACCAGGCACAGTGCCATTGTTGGCGATGAAGTCGGCCATGTCCACATGCCGGCTGTCCACCTGCAGGTTCCTCATGCAACCCACAAAGTGTCGCATACGGACTGGGAAGTTCTCCGGCAGGTCAGGCACCCCTCCCAGCAGCAGGGGTCCTGTGAGGTCCAGAGACCTGCCAGGCAAAAACAGTGGCAGCAGGAGGGAGGAGGCTGCAGGCACTAACTCTTGCCCTGCCCTGCACCCTGTCACTGGCCAGAGAAGATGGGTTTAGGAGAGGCTCAGGGGGAACTTGCAGAGCCACCAAGGGAAGTAAAAAGCCCCAGCCGGGAAATGCTCTGCCCTCACACCCACACCTGCCAGTCTGCCCCACTAGACCTTGTGCCAGCTCCCCACCTCATCTCTCCAGAGGTCTAAGCAGAGGCTGAGAGACAGAGGAAAGACCCCCTAATACCTGGCCTGGTGCATACTTCTGAGTGCCTCCCACTCCAAATCCACCCTCTACACATTCCCTCCCTGCCCCCACCCGCTCCCCAGCCTCCCTCCTCCTTGCTCACTTCTTGCTGCCGCCCTGGGTGCCCTGAGCAGCACAGGAATAGTTGCCCAGCACAGCTCCAAAGCGCAGGGCCACCCCCGTGTCACAGCCATCCACAGTCACCACGGCCACCTTCTGCTCGGACGGGCCCTGAGGGAGCCCTGTCTGACCCAACAGTGGCTGTAGACAGGGAAGAAAAAAAGAAGAGAAATGGTGGGCAAGGGGCCCACTCGGTTCCTGAGAAGACACAAAGCTCACCTCAATGCACACATGCTTGTGGTTCTATACTTACCTTCCCAAAAACCATCTGCGTTTGTGCCCACTGACTCACTTGGGTGGGAAACCTCAATAATGTGACAAGTTCCCATGTCCTCTTTAAACCAGAAGGGCCATGCCCAGCACTCCAGTCCCTGCCAGAGGCAGTATATCCCAGGTCTGGACATATGTGCAGTATCTGAATTAAGAATTGTTGTTAAGTGCTGTCGAGTCAACTATGACTCATAGTGACCCTATGAACAAAAGACCTGAACCCTATAATTACCGTTTCTCTGTGTTCATAGAGTTTCCAGAGGCATGTGGTTTAGGAAGTGGATGCCACTCCTGCTTCCAAACCTGAATTAATCTGGGAGCTCCACCAAACACTGTCCACAATGGGTAACCACTGTGGTGTTTGACACACCTATGGCACGGTGTTCAGCATCACAACAACCCACGTTACTTCAGTACAGAAAATAGAAAGACCACTGCTGTACCACTTAAAAGAATGCACATCCCAAAATCAATTAACATTAGGCCCATTGAATTGATTTAAATTCTTAGCAACCCTAAAGTCAAACAGAACTTCCAAAGGGTTTCCAAGGTTGTACCCTCAAGCAGGTGGATTGGTGGGGTGACTGCTGCAACGGGCTCCTGTGTGTCAGGAAGTGTGAGGATGACGCAGGACAGAACAGGGTTCAGATCTTTTTGTTCATAGGGTCATTATGAGTTGTGCTCGACTCACAGGCACCTAACAACAATCCCAATGGAAGCAGACTGTTACATCTTTCTCCTACAGGATTGCAACCCTCAACCTTTCAGTTAACAGCTGAGTGCTTACCCATTGTACCACCAAGATTTTCTGAATCAAGAACAAATAAACCAAACTTGCAGCTGGCAAGTCAATTTCTGGCTCATGAGAGTCCTGCGTTGGGTGTCTGAGGCTGTAAATCTTTACTGGAGGAGATCACCCATCTTTTTCCTGAAGCACGGATAGTGGACTCAGCCCAACACGTATCACATAACTCCTCTGTTCCCCTTCCCACACTCACCTTGTTGTAGTACTTCAGTTGCACCGTGTGCCACTGGCCATCACTGACCCCTCCAGGCACAAATGGGGACACAGTGGTGGTTGACTCCCCTGGGGAAGAGGCAAAGGTGAGACGGGACACCAGGCCAGGGCTGGGAGTGGGAAGGAGGGCTCATGGTTGGATCTGGGCTGGGACAGTGTGTGGTTTAAAGGAGGGGTCAGAGGTCAAAATGGGAGCCTTTGGGAGCTGGGCAAGGACAAGGGGTGACCAGGCTCACCTGCAGAGAAGGTGAGCTGGACTTGCTCTTGGATCACCTCTAGGGCCACAAAGTCATGCTTCTCGTTGAAGCGCCCGTTGTACAGCAGCAGTCCATCACGCTCCTTTGTGGCAAACCTGACCAGGAGTGAGTGAGAGGCAGGGGTGGGGCACTCACTAGGACACTGGGGCCCCAGCCCCTCACGGGCCCCTCATCTAGCCCAGGGCTCTCTGGAGGGCTGACAATGGGCCCAAGGCTACAGTCATGGGGCAAATGGCTTCCCACTCCAGAGGGCAAGATGGAGCCTGGGAGGCGAGGAAGGCGGACAGGCAGCTCTGTCAGAAGCCGTTCTGAGGCCTTTGTGGGTCTCGGACCCCTGATCTCTCTCTCTCCAGAGAGCAGGAGGCATCCCCACCTGCAACCCCCCTCCACGGTGCTCGGCCAGAAGCAGCCACTCACGAGAGAGCCAAGGTGAAGTGGAAGCGCTGGCGCAGGCCCCGGAAGGTGATGAAGGAGCGGGCAGGGAAGCTGCGCGTGGTCACCTGGCAGTACGGCTTCTCGAAGTCTCCGGAAGGGCAGTCGCACTTGAAGCCACCCACCAAGAGGTTGACACAGGTTCCCCCATTCTTGCAGACACCTGGGGTGCAACGGCCAGAGCGGGCGCTCACCTCGCAGTGCTCACCTAGGCAAGAGGAAAAGCCAGGTGAGTACCAGGCACCCAAGGGGAGAGTTGAGCGGGACCATTCTGCCCCATTACACAGCTCCTGCCAGTGGTATTTCCCATGGCTTCCATGACCTCACAGTACCTCCAAGAGTCCCCCAGATACAACCACTTCCCCTCTGAGACCTGTAAAACCCCAGCCTTGCTCCTTCCTGGCATTTTCCTTGGCCCACTGATCCATTCTCACCACAGCCCTCATACCACTTCCTCTGCATTCCCCCTGACAGCTCCCAGCCCCTCCACCTCTGGGCCTCTGGGCACAGGCCTGCTGGGACTTCAGGCCAGGCTTTCATAGGACTCTTTTGTCTCATGGCTGCCAGGCAAGGTGGGGTGCTCTGTCACTACAGGAGGAGTGGGCATGGAGGGAAAGGGTCTGCAGCCAGCAGCAGGGCTGATGTAGCCCGCCTCCCTCCTCTTGGTGTTTTTGTCCCTGTCAGGTGTGGCGTCAGTCTCCTGCCCAGGCTTCCACTTGGATTTGTCTGAGTTATGAAGGAGGGGGAAAGGAAGCTGGGGATACCCCTAGAAATGAGGTGGGGTGCTTCCTTCCACAGAGACTTCTGGGCCCTCTGCGCACCTGAAAGATGCTTAGAGAAAGGCTGAGTCCTGGGAGCAGCCTAGGATTCCATGGGAGAGCTGAAAATTCCGACAATATCAGATGGGAAAATCCACGCTTTTCTCTCCTGCACTATTCCCAGATTCTAGAGATAGGTTCTCAGTTTCTGTGCCTAGTGACTGGTTCTTGTTTCCATGGAAACTGTTGTTCGCCTTCTCTAAGCCCCCCTCCCCATCCTCCTGGACAAAGACTCCCCCACTCCTCCCCCAGTCCAGCCCTCCTCCCTCCCCACCCACAGCAGAAGCAGAGAGGAGTCAGACAAGTTCTGGGCTGCAGAGAAGGCCTTGGGGCCTACCTACCACGGATTTCCTGCCTACCTTCCCCCTCGGTGCTGTCAGCACAGCCCATGGGACCCAAGGCACCTTGGAGGGAAGGGTCCATGGAGGGGAAGAAGAATGAGGGCTCCTGAGGAAAAGAAGGGGCCTGCAGGCTGGGTCAGTAGCACAGAGCAGAAGTGGTGAGTGTCCCAGGAAAAGACTGTCCTCAGCCACAGGCAAACCAGAAGGCCTCTTGGCCAGAACCCATTTTACCAGTATACGGGCAGGGGAAACATTCTGTCCCAGAGTAAGAATCTTCCAGGACACCTAATCCTCCTGATTTTCTGAGCTTTCCTTCAATGCTTGGAGTGGGGGGGAAAAAGCACTTGCTTCAGCTTCAAACAGTAACTGGACTAGCAATGGGGAAGATCAAGTTCTAGGCCTAGCCTCACCTCAAAGCAGGCTGTAAGATGAGACCTGGAGCAAGTCACCTAATTGTGTGTTCCCTTCAATCACAGTCAACACCTTCCACATACCAGTTCTTTAATCCACTGTAGTAAAATAGATTCCAACACATAGTGACCCTCCATCTGTTTTCTGAGGTAGTAAATCCTTATGGGAAGAGACTGCCCATCTTTCTCCTTTGGGGCACCTGGTGGATTCGAATAGCTGACTTCTTTGCCATCAGCCCAACAGCTGGGCACTATGCTCTAAGGGCTCCATATCACCTCTATACGTATACTAATTGAACTAGTCTCTACAGTCAACCTTTAGCATCGCCTCCATTTTAGAACACTGAGGCACAGTATTTTAACACGAGGTTGAGTAACTTGTTGAAAGTCAGACAGTCGGTACGCAGCAAGCTGAGACACAAACCCTGGCTTGGCTCTAGAGCTAGCTTTGACCTTTGAGTTACACTAGGAATTCTGGGTCATGGCAGCTTCCTGTACAGAGTACAACTGTGTCCAAAGATTTTCAATGGCTGATTCTGTAGAAGTAGATTATCAGGCCTTCTTTCCAAGGTGTCTCTGGGTGCAAAATAAGTTTGACATTTTGGTGAGCTGGGTATGTCAACACTGGTGGCACCCGCGACACCCTCCTCACTGTTGTTACGTGCTGTCAAGCCGACCGTGACCCTATGAACCACTGGTCTGAAAGTTGCTCTATCCTATGCCATCGTCACTATCTCTGACACACTGGAGCCCATTGCTGCAGTCACCGTGTCAGTCCACCCTGTTGAAGGTCACTGTTGTTATGGTGTACCATCAAGTTGGAACCAACCCATAGCTGGCCCTCTAGTGGGTTTTCAGATGCAGTCAAATTACATTAAGAGGAGACTGCTTATCCTCCTGTGGAGGAGCTGGCACACTCGAACTATGTGCCTTTGGGATTGGAGCGCAAATTTTTATCACTAGGCCATGAGAGCTCCCTAGAGTCACTGTTTGTTGTTGCTGTTGTTATGTGCCACTGACAACTCTGAACCCTGCTTTATCCTTAGCCACACCTACTCCAATACCCCAGTCTCTGAATCCATCCATCTCACTGAAGGTCTTCCCTTGACCTTTCCCTCCACACTTCCAAGCATGATGTCCTTCTAAGCAGGACCAGTCCCTCCTTGCAGCATGCCCAAAGTATGTCGGACGAAGCTTCAGAACCATTGCCTCCAAGGAGCAGTCCGGTTTCACCCTCTCGAGAACGAACCTGTCTGTTCTCCTAGCAGTCCGTGGGGTCACTAGGTTATTGTAAAAGAGCAAGTAGCATTTGTAAACGTGCTATGCAGCCTGCATCTCAGCCTGATTTGTGTTCGTGCCACAGTGTCAGCTCTCCGGGGAGGTGCCCTGCACCCACAGGTGACAGACAGCCTGGCTTCTCTGGCGGCTTCGAGGAAGCAAGAGGGGCAACCTCCTATGTGATTTACGGCTTCGGAAACCCAACAAACAGGGGGTCAGCTATGAGTCAGTCAGTTGGGTTGGGGTTTTCTCCTAGCTCTCGAGGGGCGTGCCCACCCCCGACCCCGGCTCACCCGTGTAGCCGTCGCGGCAGAGGCAGGTGTAGCCGCCCTCGTGGCTGCGGCAGCGCCCGTGGGAGCCGCAGGGCCGCGAGTAGCACAGGTCCACCTCGGTCTCGCAGTAGTCGCCCGTGAAGCCGGGCGGGCAGCGGCAGCGCAGGCCGCCCACCGGGTGGATGGGCCGGAAGAGCACGGACGAGGAGGCGATGAAGGGCGCGGAGGAGTCGAAGCGCAGCACCGACACGCAGCGCATGTAGTTCTCGCAGGGCTCGCGCAGGCAGATGTTGTCGTCGAAGGGCAGCACGCGCTGCGCCGAGATGGCCGTCAGCAGGCTGCGGTTGAGGTACAGGCGCTCCTGCAGGTCCTCGGAGGGCAGGAAGGGCGGCCCGCCGCCGGGCCCGGGAGGCTGGCCCACCGACAGGCTCACGTTGAGGATGTGGCCGCCGGGGGCGTCCGTGTCCCGCTGCACGTTGAAGACCACCACGTGGTCTGGGGGCGTGGCCAGCGTGGCGGCCACAGCCTGGATGAAGAGGCCCAGCAGCGGCGACAGGAAGCGCTCGGGCGACATGTCCTCCAGGCGGAGTGTGATGCTGTGCGTGAGCATCTCGTCGGTGATGATGGTGACGCGCAGCGCACACTGAGCCGTCACGCTGTGCACGCCGTCTGCGGAGAGAGCAGCCGGGTTAGGACCTGGCCTGGCGGCGGTCCGGTCAGGGGTGCGCAGCCACAGAGCCGGGACCGGGCAGGGTCTGGGCTAGACTGTGCAGAAGCACTCAGAGGACGGAGAAAGTTAGGGTGCAAGTACAGCCGGCACACGACTGTTCCCCAGGCGGTGAGGAGATACCACTCGTGGGCAGGCCTCTCCGTGAAGGATCAGCCTGTGATGGCACTCAGGAGAATCAGATTTTTTTAAGAAAATATTTTATTTCGTTATTTTTTGTGTATACCGTCAAATCAGATCTGACTGATACAGAAGGAGATTGTTCCTCCTTCTCCAGCAGAACATCTGGTGGATTTGAACCATGCACCTCTGAGACTGTAGTTGCAACTTCTTTCCTCTAGGCCACCAGAGCTCGCCAGGAGAACCAGATTTTAAGTTCTGTTTACAAGCTTTTCCAAAACCATTGTGAAAAGTATGTCCTATCTGTTAACATGTGTGCGCCATTTTTCCACCCAAGCCCTTATTCGGCTACCTTTTCCAGATTGAGACTTCTTTACCTTGGAAGCCTATTTTGTTTTTTCCCCCCCAAACTCTACAGAGCCCAGAGCACCATGAGAGACCCACAGACATCATCCTTCTGCCTCAGTTTTTCTATCTCAACCCTCCATAATCCTGACCCTAACTATACACCCTCCCCCCAAGGAATTGGGGGGATGAACTGGGTCAGTGGGCCACCCTGTCCCCCTCCCACTGAGCCCTTTGGCTGCTTGGGCGCAGGCCCAGTATCTCCATAGCAACACCCCACACAAAGCATTCTTCTAGCCCAGCTTTCTGGCGGCTGAGGGATGCCTAGGGGGGCCCCACCCCAGAAATCTAGCTGAGCCACCTTTACCAGTGGCTATACCACCCACTGTCCTGGTGTTGGAGGCAGGGCGAGTTAGGGAGGTGGGGCCAGACTGAGGTGGCAGAGAAGAAGGGCAGAGGGCATTCCCAAACCAGAGACCCCAGAGTCCTACTGCTTGGACCCCCGGGGCTCTGGCTACTCCTCACCCACTTGGCTCACTGCATTACACCCTAGTACCTGCCACACCCTTAGGGCCATACACTCACTTATCAACAACTAAGTATTAACATATACAGTCGGTGTCTCACTCCGCCCACTCACACACCCACCGTCAACATGTAGGCTCTGAAATCACACACACACACACACACACACACACACACACACACACACACACCTGAATGCACAAACACCTCAGAAGATTTCACTTTGTGCAGAGGTGAAAGCTGAGGCCAAGAGGACGGGGAAATGGCTGGGAGTGCTATTTGGACAGTCTTGTTTTTATTTACTACAATGTATTACATGTAGTAGATATTCAGTAAGCGCTATTATGTCTCTATAGTGAATAAATGGTCTTTAAAACTCAAGCAGGCAGATTCTTTTGGGTGAACCAACAGTTAATTGCTTGGCTAGTAATTGAACCCACATGGTTGGTGTTTTGAACCCAACCAGAGGTGTCTTATGAAAAAAGTCTGGGGATCTGATTCTGAAAGGTCAGAACCATGAAACCCACATGGATAAGTTCTACTCTGTACCATATGGGGTCGTCATGACTCAGTCAATTTAGTGAAGAGTTGTGGGGGTTTTTCTGGTTGTTTTTCTTTAAACAAGAATAGGCAGGAGTCGTTTCTGGGGCGGGGTGGGTGTAGGAGAGCAAAGAATCCAATTCTGCTTCTATGTCATACTTACCCGCGGTGGTGACTCGGCTGAGCCTGGGAAGGCTGCCGACAGACACTCACCTCAGCCATATTCTCAGCCTACAACCCACTTGCCCTCCGGCTTCACAGCTTGAGACTGGATGGCCTGCCTGCTTTCACCAGCAAGCCTGCTTGTCATCACCCACTTCTGCTCTTCCTGCTCTTGCCTAAAAGCTACTGCACTGGCTATTCTACCTCCTTGATCCACCCAGATACCAGCTCCCAGCCTTCCCTCTAACTGCCTTAAGCTGACCTACTCCAGGAAGCCTGCCCAGATTTAGGCCCCGAGGCTCTGTTGTTGAACCTGATGCACACAGGTGTGGAGCTGGCACATGTGTACCTGAAGCATCTGCCCAGTGACTCCTTGATTCCCTTCAGGCAGAAAGCAGCTCAAGATTCCACACAGTACTCTTAACTGATTGGAAATGGGGGAGGGGGTGGGTGATCAAGGCCACCAAGTAGGAGAAACTTCACCACCTCTCCTCCCTGTGTCCCCTCTTTTTCCCTCCAGGTCTCCTCCCTGTACTCTTCTCCCAGCAAGTCTCTGTTGCTTCCCATCTGGTCTACCATCTGTAGCCACCTGCTCCCTCTGCTGTTGTCCCCCAGCCCCAGTCGTCAACCCACTGCTCTCTCCTTCCTCTTTGTCCCTCTCATCTGCTCTGACCTGAGTCCTTCCCCAGGTGCAGAGGCAGTAGGAGGAACGGGTGAAAGGTCCACTGCCTGATTCGTCATCCTGCTTAGAAAGGAAAGGAAGCACCATCTGTCCTGCGCCCAAACACCCACACCTGGAAAAGTGCTAGGTCCCACAGTGGGACAGAATTAGACTCCGAGCCTCTCTTCCCTGGTAGATGTGCCAATGGAGGCTGAGGATTGGGAGGTCTGTTGGTGTGGGGACCAAGAGGCCGTGGGCAGGAGCCCCTGTGCGTCCCAGAAGAGCAAGGAAGAGGCTGGGAGGACCCAGGCTCCAGGAGAGCCATCTGGCTCTAGCTGGGCCAGCTGCAGCCACATGGAGCAAGGGAGAAGGAAGACAGAAGCATAGCACAGGGATCACACAGTGAAAGACAAAGCCCAGAAAAGGAGCCAGGCTGGATGGGAAAAGTGGGAAAGGAGGAGAGAGGCACACACAGGAGAAGGGGAGAGAAGGCGGGGTGGGGGGCTGAGGGGCACATGGGCAGGAATGAAAAAGAAAGAGGAGACAAAGAACATGAGAAGGAAAACAAAGGGGCAGTGGGAGTCAATTCCCCCTCAGCCAGCCTCCCTGAACTTTAGGGTTGCCGTGGTGATTGCCTCCAAGGGTCAGGGCCTAGGGGAGAGGGTGGGGCTAGAGCTGAAGAGCTGAAGCCCTTGGTGCTGCCCTGCCCTTACCCTCCACTGTAGGGAACCCAGGCCCGGGGTGGAGGCCCTCCTCTGACCCATCTCTCAGTCTTCTGCCATATTCATCTAAAGAGAGGGTGAAAGACAAGAGAGACTTTTCCTTTCCAACCCCTCCCACCTCCTCAAGTCCCTAGGCACGGATCAGAATCCAGGACACACGAACTCCAGTCTCCCAGAGGAGAAAATGCAGTATCTTGGAGCACAGGGCCCTGCTCATGGCCTCTGAGCATTCAGGCTCCCTGACTGTGTCTGTGACCCCTGGCCATGGGCTGAGGGCATGAGTGGGGAGGAGGGTGCATGCAGCCAGGCCCTGAGCCGTATCTCAACTCTGCAATGTCTCTCAATCCTTCAGGCCCACAGGCCAGGTCAGACTCCCTAAGTGGCTGGTGGAGGCCTACCAGGTTCTTTCCCTCCTGTCCCTGATGCATCTGAAGACTTGAGTTCCACTTGGCTGGGGTGTGGAGACCTGGACCCATCCTCAGGGGGTGCATGGGTTGTTGTTATGTCTCAGCTGGGGGAGGGCCCAAGATCCCTGAGTCTAGTCTCCTCGAGGCTGCCTCTCCCTCCTCACAGCTGACAGATAAGACAGCATCCCACACTCTTCCACTACCACCACCAAACTCTCCTCCCCCGGCCCTGATGTCCAGACACTCTGCAGGCTGAGCGCTTGGCCAAGCAGCAGGAATGCCCAGCCTGGTCCTGGCCAGGCTCCCACATCCCAGTACTTTGCTCTCTCACCCCCCTGGATCAGGGGCCCTGGGGTATCCACCCCAGAACCCTCTCACTCAGTCTGGTCTCCATATCCTGAATCCAAGCCAATCATAGCCAGAAGAGGAGGCCTGGTGTCTGTCCTAAGAACAGCCCAAGCTGTGGCAAGGGGACCCAGGAGACCTTAGTCAGCCCCTGGCTTTATCACAGTCCCTCCCTCAAGCGGACCCTGAACCAGGGCCTCTGACAGTGGGGTCTGTTTGGTCAGAGACAATGAGATCTGGCCTCACTTCCTGCACAAGCTCCAGAGGGGGAGCCAGGCAAGGCTTTCTGCCTGTAGGGAAAAGAATGCACTAGACAAAGTCCCCGTCAGCCGGTCTGGGGCTCAGCCGGGAGCAAGAAGGGGACAGAAGAGGCTCGACTGCAGGGTCCTGACCCTGAAGCGGCAACACTCTGCCCCCACGACCTTCAGCTCAGCCAAAAGGCTGTATGAGATCACCAGAATACCCTGATGGGGTGTGAGGAGATGCTGAGGGGGCCCAGCTGCCTCTGCTTCAGCATAGGCCTCTCCACCCTTCCCCCAGCTCTCCTGCCCTCCCCAGTCTTCCACCCGCCTTTTTTCACAATCCTTGGCAGCCACAGCCAGGGCAGCCTCAGAATACTTCCCCCACCACGTCACAGGCTGGTAGGCTGGGGGCAGCCAACCGAAGCAGCCCAGCCCAGCTCAGCCTGGGGCAGCAGGGCCTGCACCAGCTGCCACGATTCCTGGGACTTTTCCCCTCCTTGAAGCTGGTTCTTGACCCCTCAACCTCTGTGCCAGGACCAGGCAGAGAGGTGCATCAGAAGTTCCTCCTTGAGTGGCTCCTCACCTCCAGTGGTTGCCCAGGCCCTCCTCACTGAGGGCACCTCCCACCCCAAGGCTGCAGGGGGGGGGGACCCTGGCATACCTGACACCAGCACGCTCATGATGGCCTCCAGGGGTCGGTTGTTGTCCAGTGCCCGGCTCAGCCTCAGCTCCCCCGTGGAGGCATTGAGCAGGACAAGGCTGAGTTCATTTCCCCTCTCGAAGCTGTAAGTCAGGCTGTCTGAGATGTCAGGGTCGTGAGCGGGCACGCGGCCGATGGCACCGCCAGGAAAGCTGCTGGAGCGGTTGGTGACGTAGTTGTTGAAAAGGATCTCAAAGTTGCCCAGCACTGGTGGGTTGTCATTGCGGTCCAGCAGGCGGACGTGAACGGTAGCCCGGCTCACCAGAGGAGCTGAGGTGGCCTGGATGACCAAGATATATTCAGGCCGGTCCTCATAGTCTAAATCCACCAGGGCAGTGAGCTCCCCAGAGAAGATGTCCAGCTGGAAGACCTCAGGGATGTTGCCTTCCACAATCTGGTACATGATTTGGGCATTGGTGCCTTCATCCGGGTCAGTGGCTGTGACCCGGGCCACGGCCAGCCCAATGGGGCTGTTCTCCTCCACAAACACATCAAACTCATCCTGCTCAAAGACAGGGGGATTGTCGTTCACGTCCAGCACAGTGACCGTCACTTCCATGGGTGTGCGGGCTGGGGGCATCCCCTTGTCCACTGCGTATGCCCGCAAGACATACTGGGCCACATTCTCTCGATCCAGCCTCCGCAGTGTCCGCACAATTCCCGATGTCGACTCTACGATAAAGTCACCATCTCCATCATCACCCCCCTGGAAAGTGTAGAAAACCCGGCCATTGAGGCCAGAGTCTCGATCAGTGGCTGAGATCTGCAGGACGCTCGTGAAGGGGGGTACGTCCTCATAGACACTGCCCTGGTAGGAGTCCCGGAGAAACTGAGGGGCGTTATCATTTACATCATTCACCAGGATCTCCAAGTAGGTGGTATCGGATTTCTGGGGAATGCCGTTGTCCCGCGCGGTGATGGCCAGAGTGTAGGACACCTGATCTTCATAGTCCAGCTCAGCCTGGGTGGTGACAGCCCCCGTGTCCGCATCGATGCGGAACTGGGGGATGCTGTCCTCCATGAAGTAGGTGATGCGGGCATTCTCGCCCGTGTCCTCGTCCGTGGCACTGATGAGCACCACCGTGGTGCCTGCTGGGCGGTCCTCGTTAACGTTCACCGTGTAGTGGGAGCTCTGGAAGACCGGGCGATGGGTGTTGGCATCAGTGACGTTGACCACAACCTGTGCAGTGTCCTGCCGAGTGCCATCGGAGGCGGTGACTGCCAGCACGTACTGCCGTTCAAGTTTGTAGTCCAGGGGCAGGGCGAGGGACACCAGCCCCCCTCCGCTCTGGCTGGTGATGGAGAAGCGGTTTCGGGTGTTGCCACTGGTGATCTGGTAGGTGATGACGCTGTGGGCATCGCGGTCGACGGCAGACACTGTCACCACGCTGGTGCCCACAGCTGCATCTTCATTGAGCCGCACCGTGTACTCCGGCTGAGTGAAGGTTGGGTTGTTGTCATTGACGTCGAGGACAGTCACGCTGACGCTGGCCGAGGCTGTGAGTGTGGGGGTGCCATGGTCTCGAGCTTCTACCCCAAAGCTGTAGAAATCAACCTCCTCTCGGTCCAGTTCAGCAGCTACAGAGATCCAGCCTGTGCCATTGTTGATGGTGAAGGGGAAGTCGTGGCCCACTCCAGCTAGGCGGTATTCCAGGCGGGCGTTGTCGCCAGCATCCGCGTCAATGGCCTGGACGTGGAGAACCAGGTAGCCCAAGGGGACGCTCTCCAGGACAGTTGCCTGGAAGGGGGTGCTGACAAATATGGGTGCGTTGTCATTAATATCCAGGACCTGCACTGTCACCAGGCCGGAGACGTTGGAGAGTGGAGGGCGGCCTCCATCCTGGGCCCTCACACGCAGCGTGTACTCCTTGGTGGTCTCGTAGTCCAGAGGGCTCACCACGTCCAGGGCCCCGGTCTGAGCATCCAGGTAGAACTGACCACGCGCATTGCCGCTCATGATGCTATAGTGCACCAGGGCGTTGCTGCCCTTGTCTCGGTCCGAGGCCGTGACCCGCAGCACTGGGGCGCCTGGAGCCACGTCCTCCCGCACCTGGACTACGTAGCGCTTCTCACTGAACTGAGGGGCATTATCATTGTCATCTTCTACAGACAGGAAGACTGCAGCCGTGGCGCTCCGCGGCCCTGGGTCCCGGCCCTGGTCGCTGGCTTCCACAGTCAACTGGTAGGATTCCACCTCTTCTCGGTCCACTGGGCCGCGGGTTCGGATGACCCCAGAGCGAGGGTCGATTTCGAAGACTTCCGAGGGGCCGCCCCCAGGCCCCTCAAGCAGGCGGTACAGAATATTGGCGTTGGGAGGGGCATCGCCATCTGTGGCCCTGACAGTGAGGACCTCATAGCCCACCTCCAGGTTCTCCCTGAGGCTCTCTTTGTATTCCTGCTGCTCAAACACGGGGTCATGGTCATTGGTGTCGGTCACCAAGATGGTGAGAGTGGCCAGGGCACTTCGCCGGGGCATGCCGTGGTCCTGCGCGGTGACCCTGAAGACATGGGTGCTCTTGGTCTCCCGATCCAGCTCCTCAGCCGTCGTCACAGCGCCCGTGATAGGGTCCAGGGAGAAGAAGTGGTTGGAACGGCTGTCGAAGAGGGCGTCCATGGTGTACTCCAGGCGACCTGCCTCGCCTTCATCTGGGTCGATGGCTCGCAGGGAGGCCACGGGGGTACCTGCTGGCTGGTTCTCAGGCACTGTGACTTGGTAGCTAGGGGGCTGGAACTGGGGGGCTGTATTCACATTCCTTTTGCGACGTCCACCCATAGACTCTCCTGCTGTCCCTTCCCCTGTCTCCTGCCCTGGGGCTTGTGTCAGCTTACAGGACTGGCATCTCAACCGTGGGGCCTTGAGACAAGGCTGCTCATGGGTTAGGGTGAGCTTGCCCTGCGGGGAGAGGTGGCCTCCAATGCCCACGAGGCGGCAGCTCCAGGGGCAGCCTTCAGGGGCTGGCGGCAGGGGAATGTGGGCCCCGGATTCTGGACACCAGACCCGCAGACCATCATGGTGGGGCACCAGGTGGCCGGTTAGCTCTGTCCCCGCAGCTCTGCAGCGGATGGTGTACAGCCAGAGGTTCGAGGAAGAATCTGGGCAGAGCCAACCCACGGGGGTGCAGGCCCCGGGAGAGCCCCGTCCCCCGGGCCCCAGGGAGCGGCAGGGCCCCACTTGATCTCCCAGAAGTGGCGGCGGCCGCAGTAGCAGCAGCAGAAGCAGCGGCAGCAGCGGCGGCGGAGGGAGGGGTACGCGGGCGGCCCGGCCCCGCATCTCTCCCTGTCCCGGCCGGCCGGCTCAGCGGCGGCGGCGGCTCCTCCTCCGGCTCCCGCTGGCTCCTCCGCGCCTCATGCCCGGGCCAGGGCGCGCGTCCCCGGGGGCTGCCCGTGCGCCCCACGGGGCCTGCGACTCAATGGCTCGGCGGGGCCCGGCGCCTTCCTCTGCGCCCGGGCTCCCACCGCTCCCAAGCCGGGGCCGCGCCCGGGTCACCGCGACCACCCGGGCCCCGCCGCGGCGCCACCTGCGCTCGGAGCGCTCTCCACCTGCGCCCGCAGACCCCGTGGCGCCCCTGGCCCTGCCGGTCCTCGGGTTGCTCAGCCCGCGGGCGCCTTCTTAGCCTCCGCGGGATCGCCCACCTGCGCCCGCAGAGCTGCCCGCCCCGACCCTGGCCCAGCCCTGGCCGCCCTGGCGATCCCGCGCTGTCCGCTCGTGTCCAGCGTCCCCGCCGCGGCTGCTGCCCGTCGCCGTGGCCCCAGGCCCAGCCCCTGCGCTCCCTCGCCTCCCGGGCGGGCGGGCGAGCTCTGCAGAGCGGCGGCGGCGGCTCATTACCATAGACCTGCTCGCGCCGCCGCCCTTAAAGCGGCGACGCCGGGTCCCCGCTGAAGGGGTGGGCCCACACTGCGCCTTCCCCTGCTTTAGCTTGCGCTAAGGTCTTCACTGGTCAAGACCCTATCCCAGTGACCTCAGGCCCGCTCATGCTCCACTCATCCTCACTATAGCCTAGATGGGAATTAGCAATTGAAAGCTAAAGAGCAGATGCTAACAGTGATGGCAGTACTCTAAGTGTGTGTGTAGGTAGAAGTTTTCAAAACATTTTGAAGAACTCTCAGAAACTCAGTCTGCACCGTCTGCTCACCTCCTTCTGTCCCCTAATGGACTGCTGCTAAGAGTTCGCACTGCTGTCCCCTCCTACAAGCCGGGGTCAGCGAAAAGGCCCAGACACCAAAGAGACACATTTCCACCCCTGGGGACCCACAAATGGGACCTGAGGCACCTGACCCCCTTATTGGCCTGAAATCATGATCTGATAACAATAAGTCTTGGTGCCCCACTGTTGGATAGACCAACAGCGGGGGGTTTCTCAGGAGGTGGTAAACTAGGAGTCACATTGGTTGAAAGCTAACTGGTCTAAACACATTAATATGCAGATTCTGAGGCCCAGAAAGGAGGAGACTTGCAGAGGGTCACAGCCTGTGAAGGTGGAGCCAAGCTTTCTTTCCATGCAGGTTTCAGTGGAGCAAATGTGGGTCCTAGACTTGTTGCGTGGTGCTCACTGCTCCACAGGGGCCTTCTGGAGAGACCACCTTTGGCATTATCTCAACTCCTTTCAGCCTGACTGGCACCTATTTCATCCAGCTCTGTGAAGCCTCCCAGGGCCCACAAGCTATTTGAAAGGGATTCCAGGAGTCCTCAAGGGGTCCAGTCATGAAGAGTCAGGCTGGGGCCTTCCCTTTCCATAGCCTATTCTAGGGTCCTCAGAACTGTAGAACTACCTGAGTGGGCAGCAGGGGACCCTGGTCAGGGGGTCAGTGGGCTGGTCTGAGGAAAAGACCTGGGCATTATTCCTATCCCTGCCACTGGCCCTTACCCAGCTGTGTAACTTGGGCCCAGATTCCTTCGCTCCAATGTTCTATTTGTAAAATGAGACAATTGAATAAAAGAAACAGTCTTCAAAATTTTACTCCACAATAAAATCTTGTCTTCAAGTAAAACCAAGAGAAGTAGCACTGCTGGGTGGAAGTGAAGGGCCAGATTCACACCACTTGGCTTCTACTCCAAGCTCATGGGCTTCCTTTGTCAAAATCCTCCATCTGTCCTGTGGGGGAGCCCAGTTTGAAGGCATTGGGACCAGAGTGAGAGCAGTCCTGAGCCTCTCATCACAGAAGAGATGGAAAACCTAGACAGCGTCTGGATGATGCCACGAGGAGAAACCAGCTGTTCCTTTTCTTCCCCAGGGGAAAAAGCAGGAAAAAAAGATGAGGGGCTTGGTTGCAGCAAGAAGGATTAGGGAGGGCTCAACATTCCTGCCAGTAGTGAGTGGTCAGGATGGGAAGAAAGAAATGGGAGAACAGAAGATGAACTTTCTTTTGGCCTGGCCAACAGCAGCTCCAGAGGCTGAGGGGTGGCTTAAGTGGCCTACCCCAGGCCAGGCCTCTCTGGGTTTCCTTTGACTCTGATTTGGGAGGACCTCGGGGCTGCGTGGGCACTCTGCTCTTCACCTAATAGCCATGTGGTGCGGGGAATGTTCGGAAATTATACCATCTGTTAATTACGCCTTGAATCAGAGTTGGGTAATGAGACTCTCATTTCGAATGAAAGCCCAAGCAAACACATGGAGGAACGGCAGCTCCCCATTCATCCTTCTCCCTTTGTAGCTAATAGAAGCTTTCTGAGGGAGCAAGAGCGGCCTTGGCGCTGGATCATGGAATGCAGTTCTGGAGCCTGGCCCTGGGAGTTTGCGGGAGAAGACACAGAAATTGGGAGCTCCACTCCCAGGAGAGGCCTTTCTGCTCAAGGGCTGGCAGGCTGAGGGGTGCAAGGAACCTCTCCCTTCAGCTCTGAGCAAATAGTTCTTAATCCCCTTCCTCCCTCCCTTCCCCCAGGGGCACAGACTGGAAGGCAGCGACTAGGGGGCCTCTGCTCCCATCCACACCCATCTCCCAAAAGCAGGAAGGAAGCTTCCAAGTCTTATACAAGAAATCCCCAGATTAACTATAAGATCCCTTCCTAAATATGTCTTTAAGTGGGACTTATAGGTAAGCTGGATCAGGTATACATGGTGCTTTACTTCTCATAGTGGGTTGGGTTGTTGTTGTTATTTTGTACCGTTGAGTAACTTGTGACTCATAGCGACCCTATGTACAACAGCTCTGAACCCTGCTCTATCTTGAACCAACCTTATCGTCTCTGACACACCTAACCCCATTACCCCAGTCACTGAATCAATCTATCTCATTGAAGGTCTTCTTCTCCTGCACTGTCCCTCCATTCTCCCAAGCATGATGTCCCTCTCCAAAAACCGGTTCCTCCTTGCAACATGCCCAAAGTATGTCAGATGGAGCTTCAGAATCCTTGCCTCCAAGGAGCTGCCTGGTTTTTACTCTCTCCAGGACAAACCTGTTTGTTCTCCTAGTGGTCCACGGTGTAGTCGACGACACTCTTCTCCAGCACCACAGCTCAATGGCATCAATTCTCTTTCTATCATCCCTAGTCATTATCCAGCTTTCTGATGCATAGCAAGTAATTGCAAAGACCATGGCCTGGGTCAGGCGCACCTTGGTCTCCAGACTGACACTGTTGCTCTTAAGTACTCTGGAGAGGTCCCTGATAGCAGACTTTCCCAATGCAGTTTGTCTTTTGATGTCCTGGTTGCTGGTACCAAGAGGATTGTGGAGCCAAGTGGGTTGGGTACGAGGCTGTTAATCAAAGGTCACCAGTTGGAATCCACAAGCTGCTTTGAAGGAGAAAGGTAAGGCAACCTGTTCCATGGCACCTGCAGCCCCAGGAACCTGGTGGAGGGTTAGCAGGAGCTGAAACAACTCTATGGAAGTGGTTTTGGCTTTTAGTTTTAGTGCAAGTGGAAGCTCAAAGTCTTTTCAATGACTTAAAAACTATACATGCAGAAAGTGAAGGTAATTGGGCTGAAGCATTCGTTCCAAGCAGAGTTTGATTTAAAAAACTGTTTCAAAACCAAAACACCCCAAATGCAATGCTGCTACTCTGATTACTCATAACAACCATATAGGAGAGTGTAGAGCTGCCCGTATGGTTTCTAAGGCTCTGTATTTTACAAAAGCAGACTGCCACATCTTTTTCCCCTGGAGTGGCTGGGGGGTTTGAATTGCTAGGTTGGTTACCAGTTGAGCTCTTTAACCAAGCCACCCTGCCTCCTTCTTGTTGTTAAGTGTCATTATTTTGAGTACAACCCATAATGGAAGGCGAATTTACATAATATTAAAGGGTAAATCTGAATTGTGAGTTGGATGTTCTTAACTTGGAGACTTAGTTTGTATCATCACTACAGCTCATGCCACCAGAGCACCAGGAGTCTCACATTAGGAGTGGTGGTCTCCTTGACCCTAATAGGAAGGACTTTGCAACTGTCCAGACTCTCAGTTGTCCCTCGAATAAGCAGGAGGTGCAGCAGGTTCCTGTTTCCATCCTAAGGAGACTTCTGCTCGTCTGGTGCAAACTTGAGGGGCAGTGACTCTGGGATAGACCCAGGGCCCCCATCTAGCTCTCATTCCTCCTCCACACTGCTCCTTGAGGATCCCTCAGGCTTGCAGCGAGTATAAGCTTGGATAAACAAAGTAGCAAGAATGACATGCATCAGGAATAATGGAGACAGAAAGGGCTAACAAATTCAAAAGCGAGAGCTCTGGTGGCTTAACGGTAAGGAGTTGTGCTGTCAACTGGAAGGCATGCAGTTCGGATCCACCACCTGCTCTGTGGGAGTAAGAAGGGCAGCCTCTCCTCTTGCAATTTACTGCCTCTAAAAACCTGCTGGAGGGCTAGCTATGGGTTGGTTCTGACTCCACGATACCTAACAACAGAGCAGTGTCAGTTGTTGTTATTAAGTGCCATTGAGTCAAGTACAACCCATAGTGTCCCTGTGAACAACAGATCTGACCCTTGTCCTATCCTGTGCCATCCTCACACTTCCTGACACGTTGCAGCAGTCACTGTGTCAATCCATCTGGTTGAGGGTCTTCCTCTCTTTTGCCGACCCTCCACCTTGCCATACATGATGTTTGAAGTTGCTAGGAGCAACAAGCTCTCCCAGCCACATACCTGAAGTATGTGAGATTAAGCTTTCTTTTCTTTGCCTCCAAGGAGCACTCTGGTTGCACTTTCTCCAAGAAATCTTTGTTTGCCCTTTTGGCCGTCCGTGGAACATTCAGCACTCTTCTCCAACACTACAGCTCAAAGGTATCAATTCTTCTTCTGTCATCTTTATTCTTCTGTCCAGTTCTCAGATGCATACACAGCAAGTGATTGGAAAGATTATGGTCTGAATCAGACATAACTTAGTGCTCAAACTGACATCATT